AGAAATACAGACACCATTTAATAATATCACACCGACCAATCACCCACTTTTACCAATGCTTTTTATCTTTCATCATAATACTTCTACCGAACATAGAGAAAGGACGGATTGTAAAGGTTGCAAAAAGTGCAACCAGAGGTGAGTTTTGGAAATGCAAATCGTATTAAGCTTGGGTCAACGGTCTCATGGACGTTGGCAATAACATCAAAATTAAGCATACAAAATTTACAAGAGTAGATGTTGTGAAGATAACTTTGTATTAGGCCATGCGTGAATGAAAAAAATAGTTCCACTTACAAAACTTAAACTAGAGAAAAGAAAAACAAACATCCTTATCACCCTGTCAAATCTTATACACTGTAGTATGAGCAGTCACTCCCAATTTACATCCAGATATTAATAAAACTCATCGGAGTCAGGATACTTTGCTCCACAGTTGATCCGCAAAAGGGGTTTTCAAAAACAGGATATTCAAGTACTATCCATTGAAATATCACTTGTGTTTGAATTTGGTGGACTCGCACCAAAAGTGCTCCCGGAGATATCATTTCGAGCCTGGCTGGCTCCAAATGTAAACTCAAGTGGAGGAATATCTAGGGTAGGCCGGGAAAAAATGGAGGTCGTGCCAACATTGTTAAATGTAGGGATAGGAACTGAATCATTAACTCTTGGGAATCCAAAGCTGAACGAAGGTGCAGCTACTACTGGTGGGAAGGCTGGCAAGGTTGGGTTGCCACTACCAGCTGATCCAAAGATCTTCTCCTCATACTCCTGCAGTTGCCGGTAGTTAGCTGCATCCATAAACACAAATGAAAGTCAGAGATGTAAAATTGTTCAAAACTAAGTGGACAACAATGTTCACTTTGTTTTAAGTATGGACATGTTCTAAGTTTCCTGCAGAGGTCCCTCATCAAGATGAAAGAGGGAAAAACAAGGTGCAATAGTATCTAGTATCTACCCACCCAACCAAATAAAAAATTTCATTCCAGTGTAGTCAACAATATCAGCATTTATCAACCTCTATGCAAGCAGGCTAGTTTCCAAAATCAAATGTTCTGGCTCGTGTTCCAATATCTAAAGTTATTGTTCAATTGAATGCTCCTTTTAAGAAATGCTGAGACAGATCTTCATTGCATACCTTCACTTAATTCAACCGATGGTCTCCGTTCTTTCACCCACTGGTAACACTGGGCAAGTCTCCATCCTCTGGATTTCATCAAATAAGCTATTACAATAGCCGGCGACCTGTTATAAAGAACATAAATCTCATGAAATAAACGAGAAAAAGCATTTCCTATGATTAAGGAGTTAGTAAAAACCAAAAGGCTGGTGGTGGCTAAGCGACATATTAACTGCACTCTAGAGTTGCGTGTGCAACTCAGTGTGCACTTTAGGAATGTACCCAGAAAGTAACTAAATTTTTTTTTAATGTTTTTTAAAAAAGCATGATTTTCAGCTTCACCTATTTTTCCCTGACATGCAGTGCACTAAAACACGAGCCTTGTCCCTTTCACACTGCTCTGCAAAATCAAGCACGCTCCATTCAGTAGGAAATTTAAGCAAATAGAAAGCAAATTTGAACTGCTATAATAAGGTCCGTCTC